TTTTAGCTAGCTTTCACTTGCAAACAATTTGCAAACGACATAAATTATTGTAATAATTAATTTATTTCATCAGAGTGTCAACTTTCCGGAGCTGCTTTCTAAAGTTTTAATGCCACGGGTGCCACTTGTGCTTGATCATCCAGTCAATTCTGTCAAGACTATTGTTACTGCCAACTGGTTACGTAGAGATTGTTTCCATTTATCAATTGTTGTAAATTTATTATTTATTTTTCACTGCATGTGGGTTAACTCAACGATTTTCAATTCAATATAACTTTATTATCAATGCGAAAGATTTAATATTTTAAAAAACTGACAATATATTTTTTTCTTATATTCTAACTTTTAGTCGAGAATTAGCAATCCGTTGTTTAATTCATTATCAATTTATGAATACAACACCGATGATAAGTATAATAGAAATTTTGATCCCCGTGATTTAATTAATTCATCAGCAGTGGTCTCTCTGAAGAGAATGCATTTTGATTGTCATTGCGTTATAATCAAATGTTCCCAACTAAAATTATGGAATTTTCAAAAAAAAATTATTCTCTCAAAGAGACTCATTCATGTATCGATTCATATTTAATATCAATGTCTCAAAAATTTCATTCACTCTACGTTATAATTGATTCGGCACTTTATGGAGTATTTATTTGAGGAAGACCGGCTTTTTTTTTATCGTCCGTTTGGTTTTTGGTTGAAAGAACACGAATGAAGTTAAAAATACTTTGATGAAAAGTGAATTTGTATCTATAATATGTCACTCCATACCCAAATAACCGATTTCCTTTTTTTTTTATCAACACACATTGAATTTTTCATATCACACAAATAATGCACCAGAATAATAAGAATATATAGGAGAATTGATGTGATAAGTGATACGCGATACAAATGATATCAAAATCTATGAATTTTTGTGAATTACTGTCTAAATTGATTAGTACTGAACATTCGATATGAAATGTTGGTCCAATTAACTATACATCGAACAATGAAATAAATTTTGAACTTTATCCAAAGGCCATTGAATGCAGACTCTGGATAGTACCATAAATAACGTACTTTACAAAACATGTAAATTTTCACAATTTTTAAATTTACTGTTCTCTTTTCCAAATAGCCATGTCAACATTTGTCGGGCTTTCATACTAGCTCGAATAACACCTCTCGATTTATACCAGTGTGTATTACCGCTTTCACTAGTGCCACAATTGGCTCCCTTGTTTTCTAAATGACGACTCTTCAATCGTATTTGATTCAAAATACCTACGAGCAAGTCATCGACATTGTGATTTATTCCTACGGATATTTCTATAAATTTGGCACGATAGGTACACGCGATACATTTTCCATCTGTTAACAAAAAATATTATTCAATTATTCATCGAAATAATGATCTTGTCGGTTCATGTGATATTTTATTTTTTGAGCTTTACCTTGAATCGAAACAGCTCTCGATCGAACCAGATCGACTTTATTGCCAACGAGAATAACGGGACGAGTTCGGAGCAAATCGCGATCGTGAAGTTGAGCTAGATATTCTTCAACTCGTTGAAAAGAGGCTTTGTCAATGACAGAGTACATTATAATGAAGGCATCAACCTCAGGTATTTGGTCCAACTCTGTCTGAAATTTTAATTCCACTAATCTGAACAATATTAAATGAAATGCTTCTCTCATGAATCCAAAACAATTCGTTTCAATACAAATACCCAATTTACATAAACACCCTTGAATAAACAATTAATATAAAATTAATACGTCTCATTTATCACTGAATTATCGAAAATTTGTCTTTACATTTACCTTCAAATTTGTTATATTCTCGAACTTTAATTCACTCTCTTCCCCATTTAACATAACAAAAACTGATTGTTCGCTGGGTACATCATCTAAAAACATAATAAAAAAAGCAATTTTAACTCTATATTTTTTTAAAGTTGTAATTACGGGTAATTACCTCTTTGACGATCATAAGCGTTGATGCATTCGCTAGTCATGAATTGACTGATGAGTGCGGTTTTTCCAACGCCACGTGCTCCGAGCATTCCGACAGTATAAGAAATAATTCTTTTCGCCTGTTGCACATTTTTCAGGTCAGTTTCAGTGTTATCATTCGGCGCCAGTGAATTCGATCTCGATCGTCGTCTCCGGAAGGAGTCACCTCTGTTTACAACACCTTAACAATTCGGAAACATCAAAATTTCATTTCAATTCATTAAAACATTTTATTCACCTTTACTCGTGAGACTGAAGCTTCTCAATCTGTAACTCTCCTCATCCTCGTCCTCTCTCCGCTGATTAGCCTGAGCGTTGATATCAGGCACATCCAAAAAAGCATTACTTTTTCTGTGATGCACGTGGTGCATACTCTGGCCACGTCGACTGCCTCTTCGTCTGAGACCAGGACTCGTGTCGTTGTCAGTCAACCTGGGTTCACTGCTGCAGTGAGGAGACTTCATTCCACCCCCATGTGGATGATGTTGATGATGATGATGATGATGATGATGATTGTGATTAGCTGCTGGATTAAAAAGATATCCAAAATATTCATTCATATTATCAACGGTGTAGCCGAGAATATTCGAGATATTAGTGGAATCTATATTGTGTGATGGGCGTGGTACTCTTCATTATTCAACCGTGAATATCTTGTGTATACTGCCATCGATTCCCGATTAAACATGGGGTGTACTGGTAACTAAATGCCAGACATCTTGCGCTTCATTTATACTATTCATAATAATTTTTCCGGAGAATCGAATGATTTTTATATTGAATAAATTTTTATATTTTATATAATTGGCCAGCGAATTGCTTAACATATTGATTGATTGATTAATAATTATTTCCAGTACCTTGTGCAGCTGCTCTACGACGAATGCTCTTGCTACCTCCGGATACCCTAGCACTTTGTGATCTTGTAGCTGGACGTCGTCTTCGAGTCGGTGTACTTCCACTGTCTGGGGTACCTGTTCCACTATCGCCCTCACGTTCCTTTTTTTCTCCTCTTTCTTTTACATCCGACATTGATACCGTGCTCAATATTTGCTCCATACTGGAAAATCCAGGAGCGCAAATCGAGGCTGAACGTGTTTTTCGATTTTGTGGTGTCTCTCTGCTCATACTTGAATAAATTTATTCAACCTTTACAATAGACCCGAAATTATCCTAGGGTAATCGTAATGGTGATATGATTCGCCCTTTTTTCTTTGTGCACGTGAAATCTTCTAAATTGAGAAGAAAATATTATTAACAATACTAGTCTATTTGTTAAGGACTTTTTTAATTGTCAATGCGTTTATGGTTTTTTGGTTTTTCATATTGTGGGAATGGTAAAGTTGTAAAATAATAAAATAATAAAATAAATATACAATAAAAGTGGAGAAATTGGGAATATTTCTAGAAAACTTGGGATTTTTTCAATTTATTCCACCTAATCCTTTCTCATCAGGAACAATTTCACACATAATTATAAAAATTGAGTAGAATATTCATTTCCAAATAATTTCTGATGGTTTCACCTGCTCCATCATCCGCACTCTTATAATTGTCAGAGTAAATTTAACCAGAGTAATTAATTCCGGATTAAAATCCGACCAGAAATTGAATTCCACTAAAATAATTCTCATTTTACCTGAGCGAATTAATCAGCCATATATTTCGGAATCTAGGTGCCTGAAGATGTTCCTAACAATTCAAGACTCACGTACGAAAGTGATGAGTAAAAATCCTAATTATAAGAATTCCATGAAAACTGGATTTGAATACTCTGGCCTGTTGCTTTCATCGTCACAACCAAGGAGTCATTCTAAATTTGGCTCAACCGAGTAGGCAGATGGAATATCCAACTGCAGGCATCCAGCGTACAGTATTTAGTATGTATTTTAGTGATGGAAATTTCTACACGAAAATAGGAAATATATACCCGCTAAACGATTCTAGTTAAACAGAATAATTTTCTATCGCAAATTATCCATTGAAATGTCCACAGATTCCACAAATTTACAACATACTTAATTCTCCATCTTCTCCACTCATCGTATAATTTAATAAAATTCATTAACAACAAAAAGTAATTATGATAAATAAAAATTATTATACTTTTCACATTTTAGTGATGCTATCTCTGCGATTTCTTTCTTTGAATTGAAAGAATGTCTTCGAATGTTGATAACTTAAACAATTGTGAATGTTTTTTTTTTCTTTTGGCAGGTGCACTATTGGTGGACGTACTACACTTGCTTACGTTACGCGAACGACTGGGAAAAAGGTATACCGTTGTCGAGAGCTTTGTCTGAGCCCGTGGATACGACCACTACGTCGGCAGTCTATACTCTATCGAGCCGCCCACCCACCCACCCGCGTCGACGCTTTTCATCGGTTTTCATTTGAGTGGCGTTAGCAGGCCAACACTCTATACAGGTTCTATCAAAAATTGCAGACATTATCCAGATCTATTTTAATAATGCCCTATACAATATTATCATCGACATTTTTATTGGGATTTATAACATCGTATTTTCCAGGTGCTTGAATTTGCGGTGAGTTGTCCTCGGTGTGGATAATCGGTTCGCCCTCGAGCTTTTCTAAATGCGGCAGTCTCCGAGCAATTTCGGCTCTCCAAGCATCAGTCTACAATACAATAGAACAATGCAAAATATAAACAAATAAAATATTGCAATTGTATGTTTCTCTGGGAATAAAACGTACCTCGAAGCCTTCGCAGAGAGGATTTCCGACGAATAGTAATTCTCGTAGATTTGGTAATTCTTGGAGTCTCATGAATTCATTCCATTCGCGCACTTGATTATTCGACATGTATAATACACGGAGATTCTTCATGGTATTAATTCCTTTCATTTTTTCGATGCAATTATAAGATATCCATAATTCCTCTAATGTTTCACCGAGCGCTTCTAAACCAGTAAATCCTTTGATGAAGTTTCGACCGAGGGATAGTATTTTTAAATTCTTCAGCGAGCTAAGACAAGATATTTTCTCGATAATATTTGTTGATAGAGAGAGCTTTTCACAACTCACTAGACTTGATAGTGAGTTATCCATTTTTTCAATTGGTGGCCACTGAAAGCTTAAAGTTACTTCGGTGGAAGTGGAAGCTTCTTGTCCATTTTCCTCTTCCCATCGTCGTAGAGCATCTTTACAAGTCGATGGTTTTCCCACTGACATTTAGTCTACATTACCAAATAAATTATATTACGTGTACAAATATTATTAAACAATACAATTGCGTAGGAGAGTCAAGATAACTGATACTCAGGGCTCTTCAGTTCTTGTTTTCCGCTGTTGCCTAGGACGGAGTTTACCACAGAATAAATCAATAATGAATGCTCAATTTATACAGCGCACAATACAAGTCGTGATAAGCAATCGTGAGATATATTGATTAATTTGGAAATTAAAAATCATTATTGAGTTGATATCGAGTTGAATTACACGTAACGAAGTGCCACCTAAAAAGTCGTTGTTAAATAAATTATTGAAATAATTTTTAAACGGCATATTGTGGAGACATAGTGCTTATGTCTCTTAGAGTTAATTATCTTTTTATATTTTTATATATTTTTTCTAAATGGTAAATGTACGATTATCAGAAATCTACACACTCTACTACAGAACATTTAAAATATGTGTGGCGAGATTAAACTAGACATTTAGCATCAGCAGTCGTGGCCTGGTATTACCTTCGGCCGCTTACGATTTCAATTTAACTACCGTGGATAAAGGACGCATGTCCGCGGCTCCAGTACGATATAATCAGTCCCACAATTTCAAAAATCTCCGGGATTAAAAGTGGAAAAGGTTTTTCTCTTCCAATCTCTTTCAATTTCGACCAGTCAATATTTTTAAAAATGATCTTAAATGTTTTAATGATTAATTTATTAACCAAAAAAAATTACACATTAACTCTTGATCCTCAGCTACAGATATGTGGAAAATTTTTCTAATAACTCATGCAGTTGCCAACGCAAATAGTTATTAAATGGTGGAATGATCGGAGTGAATAGCCGGTCGGTGGAATCATCTACGTTTCTTCGGAAACTGAAATTGATTGACTGATGGAGAGGCTGGATGCCATTTGCTCATCCCCCGCTGGTGCTCCAAATATTATTGGTCCTGCGTAATAAGGCAATAGAGGATATTGTCCAGGTGAGAAATACGCAGATGGAAATAATCCCTGTCTCTGGGCAATTTTTAACCGCGATGTTAACTGCTTCTTCCACTTTGTCCGACGATTTTGGAACCAAGTTTTTATTTGTACTTCGGTGAGGCTCAGGGTCTTCGACAGCTCCATCCGTTTACTCACACTCAGGTATTTATCCACCTGTTAAAATGACACGTTAACTCGAATTATTGTTTTTCCTCCTGATAATTTTTATTTTACCTTGAATTCAGATTCAAGCCTCTCCAATTGTTTTGCACTGTACGCCTGACGAGGCTTTCTGTCAACTCCTGGCTTTCGTGATCGTCTGCCACTCGGTTTTGGCGCTGAAATCAATTAATCATTATTATCAAAGTATCAAGGTCGATAATTCAAACAAGTTTCTATCCAAACACCTACAAACCCGAGCAATTAGCGTAGTGTAGTCTTTTTCCGGTTTCTCCAATGCATTTCAAAGACAATTATTTACTATATCAATGAAAAGCGTGAACTTCGAGCATCAGGCGATAATAGATTAAACAAGTGGTATTTAATCATGACGTGAGATATTGTATCGCGAGGAATTTATGTACCGAGTTTATTGTAATTAAATACATAAATAATATTCGTGAGAGTATTGAGAAATAATTGAAGGAAATAATTGAGGAAGAGTAGAGGGAAAATACGAAATGTTTTCATTCTGTTTAACTATCGTAGAGCATATTAACGTGGAAACGATCACTTTGACACCTCGTTCCTCCATTGTTTGCCTCAATAATTATCCAACGAGTGTTTCGCACTCTGTCAACAATCAGATGTCTCCCTGTTTGGCCAAGACCTTAGAGATTTTTATGAGGCTCTTGTCTCTGTAGAAACCTGTCATGCTCATTTATTCTCTTCAAATTTTTCCAGCTATTTTGACTGATCCCGAATTGATGTACGATCGAATGATTGTTGGAGGGATAAGCTAGTTATTTGATGTCATGTGGGTAATCATTCGGTTTATTTACTGAGGTACCATTGGTATGAGGTGTTTCGCGGAAAAAAAACGCGTTTCGGTGGTTTCTATGAAAGCGAGTGGCAGAAGTAAAGTAAAAATAGGTGAAGAAATGGAAAATAAAGTGAATAAGAAAGGGAGAGGCTGTGATTTACGAGTGTGCAGAGACATTTAGCACCTCAACGGAAGGTGGTTAGAGCAGTGACGCTGATAAATGGCCACCTAACAGCATGGCGGATTGAGGAAGAGAATGACAATGGCGGATCCATTCGTCTCTCGACTTTTACATGATTTTTCATCTTGCAAAAAAGCACTTGATGGAATCTTGAAAATCAAAATGATATTTTATTTATAAAACCTCATATAAAAAATTATCCTTCAATCGTTCTAAATCCTCTAAATTCCTCCATAACTATTTCTTTTTTATTTTCCATTTAGCAACATTAATCATCTGATTTATCCGCAGCGTTGATTTTTTTTTGTTATTATAAATCGATTTTAAATTGAGGGGCTTTCAATTGCGTACACAAACGGATGGAAAAAAATTCATGGTGAATTGTAAATAGTTCTGGCGAGGTCTAGACGATTTTTTTAAATAATTCCAATTGTTCATTCAGCATCCGAAGTTTTATGGGAGATGTTAAGACGTGAGAATGAAAATAATTCTTTGGTATCATCCGCTGATGCTGAAATCGCGTGATGCAGGGCCGTTAGTGTCTTCACACCCTTAACACCTAATATTCGTTTGAACCCACTGTATATTTCGGTGGAGGCTCTGCCTATTGTCCAGGAAAAATGAAATAACGGAGGTAGTAACAATTTATAAACGATTGTAGGAATCGATTGAGGGGTTTTGTGGTCGCGAGTTATTCTCGATGGGGAAAATCTATTTTTTGGAGGGGTAAATAATTACCTTGGAGACCGAACAACTGACCGGGTTTCGATTGGGTGAACCAACTGCCGTAGAGGAGAGATGCCGATGCCAGGGAGGCAGCTGAATATCCTGGTGACTCTGGTAGACCTTCCGGGATCGAGGGTGTCGAGCCAGGACTGTAGAGAGGACTTGTATCTAATCAACAAAATTACGAATATTATCATTTTTTATGATTAATTTACGATTAATTTACGATTAATCCTATCGCAATTCTGAAAAGTGGTGAATTAAGACGAATTCATTTTTCTCGTCATCAGTTTTTTGCGCATATCTCCCTATCCAACGGACTTGGCGATATTTTTGTTGATACATTTTTTGTTGAAAAATATGAGCGCTACAAAAAAGGTAATTACGAAAATATCGATATTTTTTTGTCATCTCGAGATATTCGGGAAAAACTCATTTCGAAAAAATGGTATTTTATCGTGGTTGATGTTTTGTTAGGGAATTTATGAATTAATTAACTAACAAATGGACTTACGCTGATCATAAAAGTTGTTGGGTCTTCCGGACAATCCGGTGGGCCCTAGGAGATAATTTCTGTTCTCCGGGGCATTATCATCATGATTATCAACACTCGATTCTGCTGCACGTCGATTACCGTCCTTTCGTCCAAGAATACTATCAATCGAAAATGCACTAGTCACTGGATTTATCGCTTTTGCCTGTGGTATTCTCTCCTCATCACTATCGTCACTGGTGTCTGAGGTGTAACCAGTCAAATCCCGGGGAGGATTCTCCGATTCTGTGCCAGGATCCACCACCTCCATATCGCGATATGTCATTTAGAAAATTCCAATCCAAATTTCACCGATTTTTTTTTTATCCTGGTCACTAGACCCTATCGAAAAATCGATCACTATTTCTGTGAGACTTGTTTGCCGATTGTTTTGGCGGATCGATCGATTGTGATTGATTTAAAAAATTATTTGGAGCTGATCCTGGAGATGAGCTCTCGTCACGGGCTAATCTACCACTAATGCCGCTATCAGCTACCGCAAAGGTACCAACACCGAATCTATGACAGGTGGCACGTGTCCGCTGGTCCATTCCATCCCCGTATCCCCACCACTTCACACTTCATCCCTCCAAAATATGTGAGACCCTCCCCTCCCATTATTCCGTATTCCTCTGCCTATTCCCAATATTTAAATTGTTATTTAATCCTACGAAAAAATATAAGGGCATACATCAAGTACTAAATCATCTCGTGGATGAACATCTCCACCCTCCACCCTCCACCCCCTCACACCCTCACCCCCTCGCCCCTTTTTTCCACCCATCGGCTAGAGGTGTAATTAAATAAATGAGAGATTTAAAATTAAAAATGTTTTAGTTATCGCGGAAATTAAGTGCGAAAATAGTTATTAGTGAGTTATTGCGCATGTCCCGTGGTAGTCCCGCCCTTTCTCGAACACCACTAAAACACACCCCGAAAATGGGAACATAATGGCACAAGTCCACTCGAATACATACGGAAATACATAAAACCTCTCCCTTCTACTCACCTTTAGAAATATGATTAAAGACCGCCTTCAAATTTTCCCCGGGCTTTTATTAAATCCTCAGTGAGTCTATAAATTTCATTTGCCACGGTGAATTACGAGAGATAAATATTTCCTCTCTCATACAACCGCTCGTCGAGCTCCCACAGATCATTTCGCGAAATTCCATTTGAAATTTTTATAATTCTCTCAAAAACGATTTTTTAATTTTCAAACTGCAATCCAAAAAAAATTATATCGCGACGAATGATTAATGATTAAATTGATTTTTTAAATTGAAATTTTTATTGGGTGTCAGGTGTTATTGGGATGTACGGAATTTTGTAATATTTATTTTTCCATAAATCATGGGGCGACATTCCTAAAATAGAAAAATGGTTGAATCTAGGTGCGAAGATTAGTAACGCCTGGCAGGAACAGCAGTTTCATGTGGATGACTTCCTGGAAACTGTTGGAAACGTAAAACCGATGGATGATGACAAACATTTCACCTCGAGTCCGCGGTTCTTCCTCTTGATTCAATCACTTTGACCGAAAATTCCATCAAACCCCAACTCAAAAATCACAGACATTCCACCCCACGGGCCCCTCCAATTCTCGAATTCATCTCCAATTAATTAAATCAAACCAATTACCTATAATTAATTAATTACGCCAATAAAGACAAATGCATGGTTTTCAGGAAATAGAAGTAATCGAATCTTTCGAGGAATTTTTATTGGTGAACTTGGGAAAAATAAATAATCCGAAAGATGGATTAGGCCCTGGAAAACTGGAAAACCCGTCATTAAGACCCTAAAATTCGGCCAGGGCTCCGAGAAATGATGGATCAAACAAAACCACAATCACGTGGACGTGAGAACCCATTAAACCAACAGCCCTAACTATCCATTCGACACGTTACACCCAATTCTCCTGCCCTCCGTGTTCGATAATTTTATTGGTCATGGTGAAGAGAAGAATCTAATAAAAGAGCGCACGATAGGAAAAAGTGGAAAATGTGAGAAGTGGGCTATGAAGCAGGAGCGAATACTGGAGCTCTTGCCGAGATATTAGACAGGTGTTGTGGTTCCCAGGGTAACAAAGGTCCCATTACCCATCACCTTGGCATATCCCACACCCTGACATATCTCCACTTCGATTTCAAATCCTAAAACATTCATGTAAGTGATTTTTAATACACGTGTATTTAATCACGAGTTTCGAATTTCGATATTCAAGAGGTAATTGATACCAATGATGACGAGGGGATTTTGGCATTTGATTTGTTTGCATGTGGGATGATATCCTAGCCCTCATCTACATTTTCTCTGCATCTATTTATTTTTTTTTTTCTTATTCCCAAGTGGAATCATTTTTTTAAAAGATTTTTTGGTGATACTCGATATTTTTTGGGTGTGTAATTAAATTTCAGGGGAAATATTATAAATTCAGGAGCTTCGGTTTTGAAAATTTTAATGGACGAAAAATGTACGGTCTGCACTCATTATTGCGGTAAATGCAATTACACGTAGCGGAGAGAACAATTATGATACGCAGGGGCATGTCCTGACGAAATCTCGACAGTTCTTTTCCGACGTTCGAGGGGAATGTAAAAATTCTGGTTGTTGCGAATATTATTTTCGTTATGATTATTTTTTTGATTGTGTTGAGGATTTTGGAGGCTTTCGGGGAGGAGTGCTACTACGATGGGAATGATTTCTGCATGAGTCCGGATGATATCCTGTCGTTTGATCTTCTTCCTGGAACTTTTTTGCTAGATCCTAACAAGAATGACGGAATAGCAAACGGAAATATCCTCGGGGATAATTTTACAATGGACGGGACGTACGAAGAGGCGTTCAATAAAATGGATTACCACAGGTACATAATTGATGATAATTGGGATTATTTAATACCGGATATAATGAATATTTACAGGAAACGAATGAACGAGTACTTGTGTCACGGTTTTATCGCTGAGGAAATATTCCGCGAGGTGAAATTGACGAGAGTCAAACGACTGGAGGATCCGATGATGAATTCAATTCCGGATTTCCTCGGGGATGAAAACGTCACGGTTCACGATAAACTCCTGTCAGACGAAGGGAGTAGTAAATACAAGGAGTGGCTCCAGAGGTAATTGCGTTAATTAATTCCCCAGATTTTTAATTTTCCAATTGGAATGATTTTTTTACAGAACAACAACTCTGGATGACGTGTATCGTCATTACATGCCGAAGAAGGTGCAGAAGAAAATATTGAAGAAGGGAATAGTTCATGATTTTGAACAATTCGATGGTGAAGTCACGGGGTATGCGATGCCAGGTCCAGTGGCTCCGGGGAAAATCGGATCGTATTATGATGAAGGCGAGGGTAATTATGAATTGATGAGAGAAGAGATTATTGGGATTGAAGAGGAAAATATTTTAGAATTGATTTCTTCACCGGGGGATCATCATCAGTACAGTCAACCTCCAACGGGACATCACTACAGTCATCCACCAGCTCCTCCGCCTTCTTATCATCACATGCCACATAGTGAGATAGTCCCGATAATCCACGAGGAACATTATTACGAGGCTGATCATGATGACGAGTCCTGGCACGACGTCTCGTGGAAAGGAAAAGGAGAACTCACTATTAGGGATTTCTTTGAAATTGCACTCACGGCTCTGGCGTTTCTAGCTTTCGGACTTTTTATTATTCAATTACTGCTGGCTATTACGGTGAATAATCAATTTTCAATTATGAGGAGAATGTTTTGATTCACGAAATCTCGGCGAAGGGAGAAAATTTCTGGGGGATGGCTTGAAAAAATTGTTCATTTCGGAGGAACAGGATGGGATGACGTGAGAGTAATTTTTTATATTTTAAGGTTTTAATTAATTTTCTTAGAATCCAGCAACGACGACGACAACTACTACAACCGCAGCCGAAGGATTAAGGATTAAGCGCAACATTTTTACTCCAAATTTCTCGTACCAGAGTAATTCGGAGTTGAATGAGCTAGCTCATAGAGTTTTGAGGTCGATTGAAGCAGCAATGGTTGCTGAACAGGATACCGGGCGTTGTTTGAGGTGGACATTGTGTCGGGATAATCGGCACTCCAGGACCATGAATTCAGCTCAGAAACTCTGGGTGCCAGTTTGGAGGTGAAAAGATCAATTCATTTAATTTTATCCAATGATTTTCAAATGGAAATTGAAATGAACGTGAGAAGAAAATAATTTCCATTTCTCTTTCAAGTGTGGGAATGAGTTGGTTATGCGGTCGAATGGTGCGGCAATCGACTTGGCCCGCCATGTTTGATTCGATCAAAGCCTCGATCCTCGGTCTCGGTGGTGCGAATTGTGACGATCTATACCCAGGGTGCGATCTCGTTACCGAGAGACGAAAAAGACGCAGACGTCGTAGAAAGTAAATAAACCCGGAGTTCCATTAGCAAAGACCTGGATTAGCTGTCAAGGGGCTGAATCCAGAGGAACTGGTAGAAGTGATGAGTAATTCGATCCCTTTGGATTGACGTAAAAAACCCGAGGGTTTGCCGATTCTAGGGGTCGCAAGTTGTTCAAAATTCTGTCGAAGTTTCGATCGTTTAAATTACGAAATTGACAAATCTGAAATAAATTCCTGTTACTGCGTTGATTAAAAATATAGATTACCACTGATAAATAAATTGAATTAATTTGGGGATTTGCCTGGTCAAGGGAAATAGCTATTGGCTCCCTGCTGATGAGCCACATGACCGGTGTCTCATATTTCCCCACTGGGACAGTACCTTTGTACAAGAAATAATCATTCGCAAAAGGTCGAATGATGTTGGAAATCGGCTCTGGTGGCATTCGCACTGATGAGTCCGGAGGTTGAATCATTGCTAGACTATTAATTACACTATCAAGTGATGAATTTGGAATCGACTGGAGCTGCAAATCAATTTAATTATTGAATGCTCGTGTCACTCTCGGGTAATTTTTTTCAATGCTAGGATGTACTTTGAAGAAATAAACTAGCATGATTATACCATCGGTCTCTCTCATCGCAATCTCTTGGGATTTGTAATCACTTTTGAAGTGAACGGCGTGAAGTTCCATTGGCTGACTGCATAATTATCAATAATTAATAGAAAAGTCTGGGATTTTCTTTGAGGAATTATCAGGCAGTTTATCGCTTTTTCACCTTCCGCCATCGATGAAGTGTTCACTCCCCATCATTTCAGTTGGTCCCCAGTGAAAATGTATTTGTGAAAACATGTAATCACCCCTCAATGGGCCAGATGATAAATGCGGTGTAGATTTTTCCCAATTTCCACATACCACAACGTTTTTCCCAGTATTTGTTATTTTCAATTTCTTCGGGGTAATATTGTAATTAATCCAGTTCAATGGGTTCAAGGTCACCACTGTCATATTACTCATGTTCAAGTCTATTGGAGACATCGATTCATTCACAGGAACTCGTTCTGACTCAATCATCTCCATTTTTTATCGGAATTTCCTTGCGATTCAAATAATTTTTCAGCAAATGGTGGTAGTTTTCGAGGATTAATCATCTATTAATTATAATTTCTCGTACAGAAAAATTTTGCTATTAAAAACGTCGAGAAAGGTCTGAAGTTGAATGAGAATACAATGAAATCAACAATTGCACGCGAATTCATTATGCAGGTTATGTATTTTTGTTTATCTCTGACGTCACGAGGATATAAAAATATTGTTCGTCGACAATAAAGAAATTCTCTTGATTAACAAAATTGTTCAGACAGATGGCGTGACAATTCGCACAACAGACGATTCGTGTCTGAAACGTCTGTTTATGTCCCAGGAATTGTTTATAATTCTATAAACAATTATAAAAAAAATGGGACGAAGTCGTTCACCGTCACCTCGACGGAGAGACAGATCCAGAGATCGTTCACGAGAGCGAGAACGAGATAGAGATCGACGGAGAAGACGTTCCAGGGAGAGACGAAGAAGGTAACCTCAATTTTGATTTAATTATGGAATTATTTAAATAAATTACACTCTCCAGATCAGTGGACAGAGACAGGGGAAAATCGAGGGATCACGAGAGGAACAGAGAGAGGGAGAGACACAGAAGATCGTATTCAAGGTCTAGGTCCAGGTCGAGGGACAGAGAACGTCAGAAGCCAAAACACAAACCAGCCACTGCAGAGAGACCTGAATTGACAGGTGATTTTAATTAATTTGATTTAATGGATGGATTGAATTAATTGCATGGAATTAAATTCAATTCCATAATTAAATGATATTTCAGAGGCTGACCTCCAGGGGAAGACTCCAGAGGAGCAAGAGATGATGAAACTCATGGGATTCTGTGGTTTCGACACGACAAAAGGGAAGAAAGTCGATGGAAACGATGTGGGAGGTGTTCACGTGATCCTGAAGAGAAAATACAGGCAGTACATGAATCGGAAGGGTGGATTCAACAGACCTCTGGATTTCGTTGCTTAAATTCTTTATTAGAAAAAATATATTCAATATTTAACTTATGTACCAATAATCAAGGGCTGACTTCGCGTTTTGGTTTTTTCGGTGATGGCTGTTCACTCTCTTCCTGGACACTGGATTCTGAGTCTGAGAGATCGAGGTGATCCTGGGTTTCGTTATTTCTCGTCGTGTTCTGGGTCATTGTCATCATCTGGAGTACAAAAAAAATCATCAACAGTCTTTCCTTTATTTTTTTTTTGTTAAGTGGATTCTACCTGACTGGGATCGAGTCTCTCGAGTCCCTCCACTAGTTGTGGCCCTTTTATTCTGAAATCTCTCGTGATGCTGTGTTTAATGTAGCCCTCCAGAGGCACCTGAAATTCCAAACAATTTTCTCACCAATAAATAAAAAATAAATAAATAAAAATCTCACTTTGGTTTTTTTTCCAAGAGCTAGAATTTCCTTGTTAAACTGCTCGATCTCGTAAACGACTTTTGGAATGAATTTCGTCTCCTTCAGGACTTTATTCTTCTGGGCATGAGCATCAGCCTTTCTTCCACTGTTCTGCTTCTCCTCAGTGTGAGTCACGAGATTATAAAACGTCGCCTTGAGAGGCTTTCCAGCGAGCTGAACCACCTGAATGAACCTGACAGCCTGAAACGCGGCGTTCTGCTGAGTCGATTTTCCACTGAAGTATTTCGTCAAATTATTGAGGACACTGTAAAGCTGGTGGAGATTTTTGAACGTCAATTCAGTATTCGGTCCAGGATCCACATTGGCATTGGCAAGAGTGTGAAGTGTTTGGATGGTGTAGGACAGCTGTTTGCAGAGGCTCTTCTCCTTCTCTTTGAGTCTCTCCCTGAAGCTGTCGTCCCCAATCCCAGGGGATGCTGCTACCACTTGCTCAGACTTAAGCCTCCCCAGGACCCACGAGGCAGTCGTAAGTTTGTTCTTCAAGGAATTATTAAAAATGCTGTGAGCCTGAGTCATCGACGAGTCATTCAGAACCTCATAGCCCTCCCTCGTGGTAATTTCATTATTGTCAATTGTCCCCAGCTTATTGCAGAGGTCCAGGCACATGTCATCCAGGACCTTTCCATACTCCACCTCTCGCTCTTCAACATTCGTAATTAATTGGAGAATAATCAGCGCTATGTGGGGATCCCCTACATCCATCTTCGCCATCTTCTGCAGCCACTCGAAGGTGCCACCAAAGCTTCCAGCGGAAACTCCCACTTTGTTCACCAATAGAGCCACAGTCTCCAGTAAAATCAGAGGAATTTTGCTGGGCTCTTCGTTCTCCCCGTAGAATCCATCGATCAGGACTTGCAATGATGAAATTAAAGTATTGAACTGAGCACTGAAGCCCTCAGAGGGCGAGGGCTCGCAGACTTCCCCTAGGAACTTGGAGAAATCCCCGGGGAACAGAGTGCACATGACGTCGCAGTATTCCTTGAAGCACTCGACACCCAGAAGAGCAGTCTCTTCATCCAACTCCCTCACAGTATCCAGGTCACAGATAATATTCTTGTAGAGGAGTTCTCCAACCTTGAGATAATTTTTCTCGTGTGCATCTCGATATTTCAATCGCTCCACGTTCTTCAGGGTCTTGGCAGTCTGGAATATTTGAATGCAGGTGTGAAGGCAGTAGTTGTGAAAGTCTGGACGTTTCCTCAGGTAATTTGCCTGGTCTTTGGTGGCCCAGGGAACCTTGTCGTGGAGTAGTGACAACATCTGGTAGATTATTTCAATATCGAGGACAGTAGGAGGAGGTTTGATGCCAGCTTTGGGACCCCTCTTGATGGTGGTGTCGTGATCCTTGTCCTTTTTCCCTTTTTTTTGTTTCTGTGGTTTATTCACTGTCTTGCAGAACTCCAAGATCTCAGCATAGGACTTGAAAAGACTGTAGATATTTTGGGCGACATTTTCATTTCCTGACGACCAACTGCTAAATCGATAGGCCATGAGAGCCTCCAGGGAGGTGATAGTCAGTTTAATTGAGTTGACCTTCTGCTGGGACTTGGGTAAATTGTCCAACAGATCTGATCTGTCGTCCACCTGGAGGTGGTCCAGAGCTGATGGTGTCATCCTCTTGCACAACGACTCCAAGACATTACTGAGTCTGTCCAGAGAGTCCAGATTTTTACTGGCAACAGTGCAGTAAATCTTCTGAAGGGTGAATATCAGGTGTCCAATTGGCTCCTGCAGGAGGGCCTCAGGTCCAGCGATGCTGGAGCAATTGTCGAGCATCAGCGGAGGCTTCACAGTCTCGTCTGACTCATAAAAATCCTGGAAGTGCCCCAGTAGTAACTCAATTGCTGCCTCACCGAGCTCTGGATTAAGAGCCACTGCCTCGTGGAGTCCCTTGTACAAATGCTGGCGGACATCTGACTCGTGGGAAAAGCACTTGGTCAGGATTATGAGGATCTCCTGACAGAAGGCAATGTGAATTCGAGGGTTTGATCTTGACTGACTCCCTCGCTCCATCGTAACTTGCGTGAAGATCGAAGAAGTCGAGGCATTCGTCATACTTGAAGATGACTGACTCAGACCAAAGGGCGAGATCTTCAAATTACTGAGAAACTGGAGAAACCCAGTGACCGCCATTTTTCGTGTCTCCACTCCCTTCCTGTAAAGGGCTTTCCTCAGTATCAACACGAGGGAATCCCTGATAGCATTCGACGTACGGATCAGGGGAATCGTGGCGTACAAAACCTGAGTTGCTGCTTCCCCAGGAATGGCCAGAAGCTGCTCCAGAAGCGTCGATATCCAGATCTGAGAGTCAAGGACGATGAGAGTGGCTTTGCGACACATGTAAGCTAGCACCTCGATGTAATGTGAAATAGCTGCACCTCCTGCCACAATTTTATCAGTGAGATTCTGCAAAACAGTTGCACCAACCTCGTGCCTCTTTTTTACGAGCTTCTGGAGGATCTTCACCCCGACCTCGTGCAACTGATTGTCCTCTCCCTCCTTGGGCTTTCCAGTGTCCATCAGTACAAAAGCAAGATCGAGAAGACCCTTGAGGACCATGTGCCTGTCCTTGTTGCTGTTCTCGATAATCTGCTCCATGATCTCCATGACTATCGAGTTCTCCGGTAGAACGTGCTTCACCCAGAAGCAGCTCCTCTTTTTTTCCTCGTCCTGAATTTTTCTGGCTAGTGCCTGTTTAATTATATCGAAGATCTGATCGTTGTAGATATCAGAGATGAGGAGGAGAACGGACATGGGGAAGGGCTCGAGGATAAATTCTGGGGCGTTGGTGATGTTCTTCAGGTTTTTCACGAAGTCCTTGAGGCTCGAGTGATTTAGTAGAGCTGATTGACGAATGTGATAAAGGACTGTGCTCTCGGTGTCCTGGATTTCCTTGAGGCTCAGTTGTCCGATACTCTCGACGGTCTCTGGTGTTTCCTTGTCGATTGACGAGTAGAGGGTCTCGAAGTACTTCTGGAGGGTTCCAATCACCAGTCTACCATCCACGTTGTCACTCAGACGAAGGATCTGGTGGACGAACGGTGGCATCTCCTTTGGCTCCACATCAGGAATTTTGTCGCAGAGGGCTCTTATCACCAGGAGGTGATCATTTTTATTCATTCTCATCTCTCCGAACATCTTTGCTAATGACGTCAGGGTACCCAGGTCCCAGTGCTGATTGCAGATCGATTGGATTATCAGGGACTTGTACTCTGGTCCTGTCACCTCGTTTCCCTTGTAATTCATGTACTTCTCATCCTCTAGGATCTGCAGTGATATCGGGAGAATTTCTCGCCAGCAGAAATACTCGTCGTCATTCAGGCGAAGACTGTTTAAGCAGAAATCAACGATTTTTGACAGCTGGAGCTTCGAGTACTTTGGAAATTCTTGGATTATTCGATTTACGATGGCATTCACGTGGGAGGTGCTGACTTTTTCGGTCGCTAGCTTCTTCAGAATTGATTCCACTAGCTTTCTGTGTTTCGATTGTGAGGATTCAGTTGTTGAAATATTTGACAGCAGGTGATTCAGAATTCCTGGGGCCTCACTGCACCCCAGTCTCGGAAGGATCACATTGCTGAGCTAAAATTGGGTAAAGTACTCAAGAAATAATTCTCGTTTGGAGAGAACAGAGAAATTCTACTCTCAATTTCTCTAACCTCCGAATTTCGGGGGATGCCTATCTATTTTGAGAATGTACTTACCTCCGCAGCGTCTGCTTTATCAATAAAATTCTTCAACCCTTCAATATTTTTAGTCTTCACCAATTCTTTAAATTGTGCATACATTCCCGTAGAGATCAATCCCTCAGCGAGAAATAATTAAAAGCGTAAACAACTATACACCGGTATCAGCTGTTTGCGACGCGGCAATATTTAAAACCCGGAAGTATTGATTTTAGAAGAAAAATTGGAAAAATGTCGGTGACAATTTAATATAAAAAAAAAAAATTAATTGGATGATTAATATTTCAGTTTTATGCAAATAAAATGGGGAGAGTAGAGGGGATGTATTTTTTCGATTATTTTTAACGCGAAGTTCTTTTTTTTTAGAGGGATTCCCCATTTTATTTGATAATGAAGTAAATATGATTGTCATGGCAGAATTGTTGATGAATGTAATGAGAACTTTTGGAATCACGTTGCGGTGGCATGTGCAGTAGCAACTGAAGGCTGGCCTTGGGGTGTGTTTACTTACTTAAACACCATGCGATTGTAGGGATGAGTGGATTTTAATGGGGAATGAGTGGTCCTTTGACTCAGTTCTTGGTATTTACCAGAGGAATTGTTTCAGTCTAGAATAATGTACGCCAGAGGCTCAATTTCAAGCACCAGTTGCACGTAATCCTGAAATTATTTCATTTCAAAGAATGAAAATGCAACTCCATTCTATGAAATTATTATATAATTCTCTAGCAATCAGTTGTTTCTCGTTGACTCTAATTTCTCACCGAATTCTCATTCGAATCAATTTTTTAATCGTTGAATTCGATAATTTTTTTCCCCTGAAGTCTCGGATATGAATATTAAATAAAATATTGTAATTCGAGGTCTTCAATTGCCCGAAATCCCAACCCCAGGCTCTCGCCGACCTTTCGATGAAAACTCCTAATTTTTTAAACAATTATTCTCAAAATATATTCACCTTAAAAAAAAATGAAGTACACAAAGAAATTTATACTTTTTAATTAATTTAATCTCAATTTGAACTTCATTTTCAATTTATTTATAATGTCAAGCATTGTTGTAAATTATTGCTTTGAAATAATTATTTCAGGTGGAAAAAATTGCACTCGCGAATCTTTTAGGTGTGGAACTTTTGTCTAGTGCTCTATTTTACTGTTCGAAAATTATGGAGAATGTCGACAGATGCCGAGAATAGACACCTGTGAATGTTCACATACCGATGAATTTCAAATGGAGCCTTCTCACAATCTGCTCTGCTTACAAACACACCGGATATCGAGTGATGAATGCAAAATACAATACCCCTGAGGGTGCATTATTGTCATTAGTCTCATTGTCTCGTGATGAAAGTGACAGAATTGGAATTTTTATTCAACTCAGTAACAGATGCGTCTAAACAATCACCAGGAATAAATAATAATATCCTAATTCATAGATAATTATCGATATTAATTAAATATCGTGGGAAAAATAATTGTCTGGGGGTGGAGACAATAGGGGAATTTATGGAGTTAAGACTTTTGGTCTTTAATTCTTATCAGACTCGACGTGTAAAAACAATTTAATTATTTCTCTCGCGAAATTCGTCGGGTACTTGACATTGACGGGAATATTAACCTGGTGAATCCCCGCGTTAATAATTTAATCCCTCGTGAATAATTACTCGTAAAACTGGAGTATTGCCGATACTAATCCCACCGCAACGATCCATTAATTAAACTTACGAGTGATTTAAAACATAAAGCTGAAGGATTGAAAGATCATTTTTCATGAGCTAAAAAATAAATTCCCACAAAATTTCCTTTGACATTTACTAATAGTTTTATTACCGCAGAAATGGCATTTTTTTTGCAATTTTATATTCACGTTGTATTAAATAAACTGCATTAAAAAATTGAAGAGTAAAAAATAAATAAATAACAGAGGAAAATATTTTTATTGGAAAATATTTTGGAAGACTGGAATGGAATGAGAAAATAAATAATTGTGGAATGGACTGAATGTGAATGAATGAATAGGTGTTACAGATATTTGACAGATGACAATCAGCTGTAAACTTGATTCACCTGCGGAGGTGGGAGGTAGGTTCACCCCACCCCCAGGGCTGGTGATCGACCATCGGGATTGGTCAGGTGTTTTGATGACGTAGCAACCGTCGCCGGTTCTACGTTCAGGTAGAAGCACGCGGAGCTTCAGTCTCATCCTGACTTCTCGCAGTCCGACAACACTCATTCATTCACTACTTGACACTCCACCCAATAGCCCATTTAAAATCTCCACTCCTCATTTATCCCCACCACTTCAACATAATATCCGCGAAATTCCGCGGACCACCTCCGGGTGAATAATCGGAAAGAAATCATTTCATCAGTGACAGGATTTCCCTGGGACGACCATCTCCAGAGATTTTTCTGAGGTCTAAGGTAATTTCTTTTCTATCATTATTAATTTTCATTCAATCCAATTATTATTATTAATATTTTTATAATTATCGTCTGGTGGATTAATTTAAAAAATCTAAAAAGTGATAGAAATAATTAAAGAAAACTCTGGAATAATCAAAACGTTTGAGTTTTGAATTTCGTTGAGGTAATTTAACAATAAATAATTATTCTCGGTTGATTTTTTTGTTAATTGTACGTAATCCTGGGATTATGTGAAAGGTGTTGATTCACACATAAATTCTGTTGATTCAATAGAATGAGTGATTTGACAGGGCAACACTCAAGTGTTTGATTGGATATTATTTCAACCCCTCGAAAATGCGCGTGTATTTTCTCCGAAATTTATCGACACGTCTGCTATCTATAGCTCCCTCCGAAAAATTTGACACCTTCGATATTTTCCATTTGACAAATGAAATATAGAAATCGTTGGGGTGAATATTTTACCAGACACTCGCCATTAATCCGTCGTAATTACACCGCATTACACCGCAGGTACCACCGAGAAATTTCGGGGTAAATGGATTTGGGTTGGGGTACAGCTTTAAAAGCTCGGGTTTTCAGTGAGCAACAGGCGATGATAACTATAGTCCATCGGCTCTGATCGATCCGGTTATTTATTCTAAAAATTTATTAAAGAAGACATCCCTAAGAAAATTACGCCGATAAAAAATTGTTAATCCCCTCCATTTTGATTTAAAAATATTTAATTCAATCCTTCAATCAATAATCTCTTGATCGACTCCCGTCAATTTATTGTTAATATAATTATATTATCTATACGCATTATAATTAATTATTAAAATTATGTGTATGTTATGAAAATTAATTGGACGAGTCGGAAATATTTTCCTGGATTTATTAAAAAATTCATATTTTTCGCGGGAATTATTATTTTTTTGGGGAATTGATGGAAGATATTTTAATATTAATTATCAGTGATAAATAATTAGTTGAGTCATTAAAGCGATTTGCAATAATGATAAAACTCTTCATGGAAAATTGTCGCGTTTCCTTTGATCACGGGAGAGTGGCGTCTCCAGCGCTTCGCAGACAAAAGGAGTTGCTCTTTCCATTTTTTCCACTCATGAAGAAAAAAATAAAAAATGCAAAAAGGGTAATGCAAAGCCTGTCGTCACACTCGCGTGTTAACCCTCGGCCTGGGGATATTCTGGGGGAAATAGTGACGTCAGTTATGTCGCATATTGTCGGGTATTTTACGTCGATTGGAGAGAATTCTATTGTCTCTCGTTTCTTTTCATGTAAGACCATGTAATTGTTCTTTTCCCTTGGAATTTCAGATCGGTACGGAATAATTTACACGGGGAATGGAAATTACGGTGAGAATTCATTACGATTGACGGATTTTCTTAAGTCGGATCTGCCAGAGAAAATTCTCTCCTTGATTTTCCGATGGAATAAATCCCATTGGATTTTAAAATTCAATTCAATGCTAAATTCATACAAAAGTTTTAAATAAATCGTACGGATTGTTTGGAGTTCAATTCTCTCTAGGTTCACAATTATCTGAAATTAATTATTCATTTTCGTTTCAGTTAATTCGATAATTGCAATAAATCAATTAAATTTTGGGGATTTTCAATCGAAAACCGAACGAGTGAAACGAGTCGCCGTTAAATGCGACATGTCACAGGGAAATATTGAATATTTAATAAAAAATGTAATTGTTATTTTCAGATTAATTCGAAAATCGGGAAAATGACCGGTCATTTTTTTTTCGTTTCGCTTGAATAATTTTTTAATAATTTCTACGTCTTGTGATACGTGTCAAGTGCCCTTTGAGGATTTTCTCAAGTTGGCAATATATTTCATCACTCTCCAATGTTTATTCACCGGCACTTCGTTATATTTATCTTTCTTTCTTTCGCTTCTGCATCGAGTGGTTCTCACATTAGCCCCAGGTCAATTCCCTTTTTCTCTGAGATAATTGAAACTGCCCTGACTATTTTTCAAGTACTCCCCACAATTTATCAAAAAATCAGGGAATAGTCCGACAATTCCCAAATCCTTCAACTCCTATTACCAAAATAATTTACAGTGATTTTTCATGGTAATTATAATTGCAATATTTGTATTGAAATAAATATGAAGATAAAATATAATTATAATTTATTCCTCGAATTGTCCGATGGGACGGAAACTGCGAAAACACCGGGTGAAATTATTTTCTCAGGGATTTGAATTCTGTAAAAGTCGGCGAAACAAGCGCTAAAGTTAAAGTAATAGTAGTAATAACGTATTTAACTTTTTAAATCCGCTTTATTCGCTGGTAGAAAATAATATATTCGAGATACAAGAAAGAATTTAGGTATCTGGTGGGAGGAAAATCGCATGCAAATGCTCGTGTTTTTTATTTCCCCTCAGCAATTCAAAAGTTCTTCCGGACAAGTTTTACTGGACCCCGAGGAATTCATCAAATATTTTCAATATAATTTCATTAATTCCCGAGGAATTCATCAAATATTTTCAATATAATTTCATTAATTCCCAGGGAATTCATCTGCATTCATTTTTTATTAAAATATTCATCGACATCTTGAATATTAACCCAAAAAAAAAAATTACCAAAATATTCCAATCGCAAAAACAATAATAATAAATAATTATATTAAGATAACTTCAATGAAATAATTATTATTTAAATTATATTGAAAAATTGTTTGAAATCCTTTGAAATTGTTATATAAAAATGACAAATTTTTGGAGGAAAAAAATCTGGAATTATTTAAATAATTATTTATTATTATTCTTTGGGTATTTCGTCACGGTTTTCGGTGTAACGACGAGTTTCCAATAACCCTTGAACATCCGGAGCTTTTGGGATGCACTTTGTGGTTTAAATTGTGGTTCTGAAGATTCCGGAAAATGATGGGCGAACGGTCGTAAATCATTTGCCAACAAAACGACGAATGGCAGAAGGGGACTACATGTTGTCAACATGATGGCAACACGAGAGTTATTTATGGTGGAATATTACCAGAGCACTCGATGCACTTTGACACCTCCACCTCCAAGTGATCTTCAAATTCTCCACACGACCGTCAACTATGTGAATTTTTTATTCATCGAGTTTCCTATTGATTTGACGGACAAAACATTCTTCTACCAACAATTGTTGCTATTGTTCTTCATCCTTTTGTTCCTCGGACAATTCAAATTTATGGGAATTTATGCACCGAGTTAAAGTATTTATCGCGATGCTCGCGCATTGTTTTTAGGTATAAATGAAGATGAGAATAAATGGAATGAATGGGTGAAAGTACTCGCCATTTTTATTTAATAAAAAAAAAAAAATCTGATCAAATATAGAATTATTTGGGAAGGACGCGAAAAAATCTCGCGGGAAATTCAGCGAATTTATCTGCAATTGAATATTAATGGAATAATAATTATCGTATTTAAATTATTTATAACATTTTTAGTGTTGAGAATTTTCTGAATTTTTAACGGGAGTTAAAGTTCTTTCTGTTTCTTGGAAATTTCTGCAAGTACCCGCAATTGGGGCAGATAATGTGGATTTTTCCGCAAGGAAAAAAATCGTGAGATGAATTTTCCATGGGAAAATATGCCCCAGGAGATTTCAACGCTCCGTCAAATGGAGTCAACATTCCCATACATTTTACGACACATCCCGAGCTTTTGTGAACGAGCAGTTGATCAAATACTCTACGTATACAGAATAAAAACCCATCATCCTCCGGAGGCTATGAAAATTCCCAACTCATGTAAAATCCCCGACTTTTCCATTTATTTCATCCCCATTCCCAAATTACTCCGGGATTACAATTAAAAATCCCAGTCCATTGGAAAAATAAAGGGTAATTACCGGAATTATTGATTTAATACTGCGAAATATTGCAGCTAAAAATATTTCAACAAAACGGAAATTATCTCGGAGGATTACAAGAACAAGGAAAAGCTAGAATAATTTCTCTGAATTTCATTTGTAATATTTAAAAAAAAATTGGAATATTCTTCGGGCTAATATTTCCGTGGAGTAATATATTTATATTATAATATTTTCAGGGTAAGATCATTACTGAATAAAATTGAGGGCGTCATGGTTTATGGAAACAGGCAGCGACGGAAAATACAATTTCCAGTTTTTAAACCTCTAATTACAATAAACAGATGAGTTTTCTCCCGCTGCTAATGGCTCTCGGTAATCTGACGGTAATTGAAAGGCACTTGGTAATCCCTCGAACTTAATTCAGACCTTTAAATGGCCACAGGGGTGGGGGTCTCAATTTTTTACCCCCAAATAAAATCGCGAGTGGAGTTCTACCGAGATAATTGCATTCACAGAATTTTTCTCGTTATTTTTATTTTCCGTAGGCATTTCATTGAATTCCAGTGAATGGAAAAAGTCCGGGAGACTTTTGAGAGAATCAAATTATTTATTTTAGTCGCCGAATTCTCGAATTGCCATCATATATTTTTTGGAATTCTATTTTTTTTTTGTGCACGTCAATTTAATTGGGAGGAATCATTTTTTTATCGTCTCCCCGTGGATTAAATTGTTTTGTTATCACTGGATTGTCACAGGCTTTCGAGAATACTTGGAATAATGGGTGAGTGGGGGTGGATAAATATCGGAGTATTCCGTGATAAATTCAGGTGCTGTTTTGCGAGCACCTGAAATCGCACTCTTCAATCAATTCATCAATTCACAGAAAATTTTCTCAAGGTTTTCTTTAGGATTCAAGGTTCATCAAACAGGAGTAATCATGAGCATCCTCCCCTTGTAATAGCGTCAGTCTCTAGGGACCATAAATATTAATGGAAAGATTAACTTCATTTCCCTCATTTTATTCACCCTTTTCTGGAAATGATATCCCATCGAATTAAATTCCGCAATCAACTATTAATCCACAAATATTTTCCAGAGATTCATTTTTCATTAATTATATAACTTCCTCATTTTTTTATTAATCAAATTAATTTAATTTGTTTCTCTA